TCAAAGCACCTGGAGCACATAAATATCACAAATACAGTAACCATCTAAAACATATTTTGATATCTGTACAAAGAAGTTAAAGGTAGGGATGACGATGTACTTTTTCCAAAAAGATTTTAAACTCCTATTTCCAATAATTCAGAGGTATTTCTTCGTTGGATTTTAACAGTGAACCCATTGCAATGTTTACCTAATCATTAAAGCCTCTTCTTCCATAGATTCCATCAGAGAATACAAATCACATCTGCGCAGTTATAACATTAGCTATACCTATAACATCATGAATTGGAAAAACATTCTGGGAATTTTACTGCCATTTGCTGCACATGTGGGGCTATATATATCGGCCTCTAAGCAGACCTAAATATATCCCGCAAACAACCAGGCAATAAACTCATACATATCACCATAACAACCATGCTAATATTTGAATTATTGCTATCATAAGCAGATGACCTACATATACACAGTAATATCAATCATGACAAGTCAATCTTACAGCACCAACAACTATTAGCAGAGACTGAGTATTAGGAATAAATCATATCCAGCACCATTATTTTGTATCAAAGGTACATAATTAATACACATTGTCTACAAGATCTAATCTCTGCGTGACATAAAATCAATCACAGGTAGGAAAAGGCTGATAACAATAATGATATCACTGATGATGTTTTGTTTACAGGTACAATAAAAACCATAATATAACCATAACAACCATAAGAAACATGAAACCATCTGAAAAACAAGTGTTAAAATTGTAGTGCCATACTATCTCAGTGAGACAATCAAGTTGAAACTATCAAAGATGTATTTTGTAAAGAAAAACATATTGATATATGTGTTATTGTGTAAATTAACAAAAGGCATAATAGTTTATTACAGATAACATGATTAAACTAGCAAATTTAAAAATAAGTTAAAAATAATATCTTTATTTTTACAGTGAAACTGCTATGTTCAATCAGCAAAAGACAGAAAAATTATACTTCATCATTAAGATAACATAATTACAAAAAACAAAAAAAACAAGATAAAATAAAATTAAATAGTTAAATAATTAAACTTACAAAAAAGAAACAGCAGAGAAATGATATAATTCAAAGAGTCAACTTGATCAAAGACTTGAACAAGAAAATATTATGACATCTTGCAGATGAAAGTAATTATGAGGCAATTACCATTTTTCAAAGACTAATCAACAAGTCAGGAACTTCATTCCTTTTTCAAAGATTGTGGTTTTTGTCCATTGTCGTGTACTGCTTTCTCTGGTGACCCATGATGAGGACCATTAACAATCCTCAGCACACCGTTAACAATCCACTTCATGATCTTGACCACTATGGTGAAAATCAGCACCGCCAACACAAACAAAACAAAGAAAACAAGTAGGAGAGCCGGAATGCTCAGCTCGTAGGACTGAGGAGGCATAGTGTGGGTTTGTTGGATGGCTTTTATTACACAATGTGTGTTTAATGGGGAGAGCCTCTATCTTCTTTGTTGAGGAAATACACTGAGACAGTACCCTTTGATGTAGAGACGTCCTCTGAGATCTTTGCAAACATCCACGACCCTATGCCATAAGCAAGAGTTGGTATACCTGAAATGAAAATGCTAAAAGTGAATCAGTAAAAAATGAATTCAGGAAGTGAGGTGAGTTGAGGTGAAATGGGGTTTAACGTTGTACTTAAGAATATTTTGCTCATATGATGTGTGGTTGCTTGTACTAGCCCAGACTTAAGCTGGTTTTGTAGTGCTAGCTGAGATACCATGCCCCAGTTAGCATGAATATCCCATTCAGACACAGGCAGGAACCAACAAGTACTATATTTCAGGAACTAGTCAAATGGGCCGAAGGACAAAAGGGCAGAGAAGTGCCAAGTCAAAAGGGCCGATGGAAAAAGGGCCGAGGTGAAAGTCAAATGGGCCGTGACAAAAATTCAAAAGGGCCTTATTCCTAGTCATTTTTCGGCCCTTCTTTTCGGAGTTTTTACTTTTCATTTCGGCCCATTTGACTTTTAGCCTCAGCCCTTTTTACCAGCCCTTTTGTCCTTCAGCCCTTTTCACCGCTTCCGTGGTGTAGTGGTTACAGCGTCTGCCCGAGAGAGCAGAAGGTCGCGGATTCGATCCAAGAGACGTTAAAATATGGTACTTGTTGGTCCCTGCCTGGCGCTCGGCATTAATGGGTACAAGGACTGGTAGGCTCGGAGTCAGTATAATGTGTCTGAGTGGGGTATTCATGCTTCACTGCGGCATGGTATCTCAGTGGGCTAGCACTATAAAACCAGATAGACGATCTAACCACTAAATACCGGTACAGTATCTCGGGATACGATAATCGGTTCAGATTCTGCAATATATTGGGTCATCCAGAGTTAGCTCCCTTTCAATTATCTGCCCTTGATTCCATAGCAAAAATGTGCTCTAAAATTGCCTAATATATTTTTATTTCTGGAGGTTTCATGTAACATTTTACTAGTGGAAGCGTCATTATAAGTGGCTCCAAATGTGCCAAATATTATACCAAATGCTTTACGTTTGGTGAGTTTGCATGGTTTCATTTGGAGGAATTAAGTGGCCTCAAATGGACCATTTTTTTATTTGGACTTATTAGTAGAGCCTCTACCTCTGAGTGACCATTTCACAATTCACAGTATTTTGTTATTTTTGTTTGTTTCATAATGGGACATATGACATCAAGTTATCATAAAGGTCTAAGGCTTAGAAATTTTGTAGGACTGTATAATGACATTCTAGTCAAGGGTCTTAGTTATTGGAGGTCACATGCGATTTTAAGCTCAAGTAGTTCAACTAAATCCATGGTTTGTTTCATTTTGTAATAGTTCATGTTAACACATGTTTATATTGGAGTTGAATGTGAACGAACCACTGACAAATACAGTAACAATAATTACATACTCCATTGAAGTGCATTCTGTTGGGGCAAACAACACTGACCATGAAAATCATGTTATATTATAACCTTTATCATTATGTTCGCAAAACTTTGTTGCAATACTTCAATTAAGCATTCCACGTTAAAACTCTATATCATTTTATTTATCTGGAAAACCATTGGCATGCAGTCATACATGTGGATGGGGAGCCTGAAAGTATGGTGTAACAGCAACTAAGAAGATGATGTCGCACACAGAGAGCTATTATGAATTTATGATGTACACACTTGGGCAGAAACCTTCCAGTCAATATATCACAATATGTATTGCAATATATCGGAATATGAAAATCAGGGCAATATCCAGCCTTACTAATCACGGAGGCGATCTAAATTCAGGAAGTATTAAAGGTACTTTGGTCTGAGATAGATCAAATTATAAATGATACACTACATCAATAGAACAATGTACAACACTCCTTTACACATGTTACACAGATGAGTGTCACAGCTAATACAAAATCACACCACCTCACAATCCTATGTCATATATATATATATAGATGCATGCAAATGAATGTTATGTCAAAGCAATACTTCATCAATATCATGAAGACGAGAAAATACCTAATATAATATACAAACCAGTGGTTGATAGCACAAGTAAATATACATGTCATGCGAGTCCAATGACACTCTACCAGCTTTGTCAGTATATACACACGTTCAGCAAATAGTGTAATTTTATAATTAACCAAAATCCTTAATATTTTCTTTTTTTATCAGTAGGTATCTTTTACTTATATTTTTCAGACCTTTGTTTCCAGGATATTGGCTTGAACAAATTAACATAAACAACTGTGTAAATGTATGCAAATTCTTAATTGTTTTGTGTGTAGAGCCAGTCAGGCATACACTTGTTCCCAAAACAAAGACACAAAGACATTACGAACAAGAGTGGATTAAACAAACAAAAAAAGCAAGTCTGGATTACCTTACCTATATTAATAACTTTCAGATATGTGAAGAATGTGTTTTCAAAGCTGAGATCCTGATACTCTCGCTTTGAACAGTGGTACTTGATGAAAGGAAAACAACCAGTTCTCAAAATGTGATAATTTGCATTCTCTACTCTCCAGTTGAAATGCGACAACCCAAACTGATCATTAACTACTTCTTTGTACTTGACACAGAATGATGTCCATGGTGGTAGACCAGCTTGTTGCAAGTGACATGACAACACTTCGGATGCCAGGGGCAGGTTCTTCTTCACCTGTTTCTTGATAACAAGTCTCTGAATACAGCTGATGAATTTGTGTAACATCTATTCAAGATGGGCTGGTGAGAAATAGAAACAGTTATAATTGTAAACACTTTTATTTCATCAAACATGTCTAATCAAAACCTAACTTTAATATAACGAAAAATCAACCACGCATATATCTGATAAGTTTAAAGATATTACACAAATCTTTGGAATGATCTATGTGTTTCAATGGTGTTTTGATATATTGTAATGATTAGAAGTTTCAAGTTGTCATGGTGATGTTGCAACGGCTAAAACGATACACTGGGTCGCAATATTACGACGCATGCAACATAGGTGAACTGCTTGAGTTGAAGAGAGAAAAAAGCCATTCTGTGTTACAAGCCGGATAGTGTGGTTTCTCCATATCATTTGGATCTTTTCATGTAGAAAATATTCTTCCAATAAGCTTAATCCACCTTACTTATTTGTCAACGCACTTGGTCATCTGAAATACATTTTTTTCAATTTGAAACAGGCCCTTTAAAATTCCCTCTTCCAGTTAATACACGTTCCTTGAGTTTTGAAGAGTTCTGTGCCCCTGGTTGTCACTGACAGCTTAATTCTTCCACTGAAACGGCCAGTGAAGAGCAAAATTTGTGAACCACCCAATTATCAATCTAGTTGTTGCCTCCTACGAATGCGATTTGGACTACAACAAACGTGTCATATAGCAACACAAATATATATTTTGAATTTTAAATTAAATACCAAAGTTCTCTATACAAAGTCAATCATATTTCACTTTTAGAATCCTATTTTTGATCATCTTATTTCTGAAAATTAGCACTTCCGGTTACCTTTGGCGGCTACTTCGAAGCAAATGTCAAATTTGTTGTTCAAACCATCACTGTTATGCGTTTCCGTTACTATTTTGGTTGATGGTTCAGAAATAGTTTGTTTTACTCGACAGATTTGTTGTTGAAGTGTTTGTTTAATCAATTTCGATGTGATCGTCGTTATCGTTGCGCCAGACACACAACCGGTACGTTTCCCCGTATTTGTGCATGCCCATGCTTGTCGTTAATAAATATTGTGTTGTTATTGGAAATTATAAGCATAATTATATTTTAAAACCTTAAGTTACATACAATACACCATCAGTATTTGTCTCTGAAACTTGTAGGCACGTATTTCGTCGCTGTCAGCATTAAATACATCGACATTCAGGAATCATTTTTCGTAATAATGTTAGTAAACATGCACTATTGCATCTAGCTATTCACTTTGTGTGTTCAGTTAAATTCAGTTACCAGCAGAAATTACTATGTCATTGTCATGACACATTTGTTCATTTCCATTTGGGTACCAAGTATCCATTGACATCAAAGTGCATTTTGTGGATTTTCTTTTCCAAGTGTAAGACTATCATGACACCATTCAAAGCCAGTAGTTACACAGTAGTACCCAGATAGCATTCGGACGTTGGCCCAACGTTGGCAATGATGGCAAAACCATCACATTAAAAATCTGCTAACATAGGTTGAACACATTTCATGGCCCTCTTCACCAAAAAGTGAAAATGAAATGTTTTTCATTGTAGTTTTACCATTCAAACATCTAATATCAGGATATGTTTAAATACAATGTATAAAATATCTTTATGATATTGTTTCAACTTGTCTGAACTCATTTGCATTGTGCATGATAAAGTTGTTTTAAATCAGAAAAAGCAACACTTGGCCACTATTCTTCTTTCCAACTATACAAAATTAATGCCCTTGTTTACATGATCTGCTCACAGAAAAGTGTCACTAATAGTGAGTTTAGTTTTACGCCGCACTCAGCAATATTCCAGCTATATGGTGGCGGTCTGTAAATAATCATGTCTGGACCAGACAATCCAGTGATCAATGGCATGAGCATTGATCTGCGCAATTGGGAACCGATGACATGTGTCAACCAAGTCAGCGAGCCTGACTACCCGATCCCGTTAGTGTCACTAATAGTGACATAACTGTGTGCGCAAATATATTGGTCCATGATTCTATGACATTTGAGCATGTTTAAGATCTTGATATGTTCATTCTGACCAAGGTCTTGGATGCATCGATCCCATTACGAAGTACAATAACTGCATATCTATCAAGTGTCTTCATTAAATTCCTTCAAATATTTTGATCCTGGTTCTAGTACTTTTATCAACCAAGAGGATGCTACACATTATACTACAGCCTCTAGAAACCAATAAAACATATTGTATACTTTTGATCACTGCTGTGTTCCTGTTTTAGAGATGGAGTTTGACACATCAGTATTGATGCGTCAGGCTGCTCCGCCATCAGTTGATGCAAGTGGCCCACTGAGCAAGAGACAAATTCTGTTTACAAACTGGCTCCTACTTGGACTTGATGTTCCAACACAGCAGAGGACTTACAGCATTCCTTTCAATAAGTGAGTAGTTTGTGTCCTCATTCTTGAATCTTAGCACAGGTAAATGATATATCGATGAACCTTTTGATTATGGTACACTCAGGCCACTGTGACAGATATCATTTCATTGTTGTTAAATAATGCTTTTAACAATGTTTTATGTTTAAAAGGGGGAATGCACCAATAAGTTCCCAAGATAATTTGCACATGTATCTGTAAATCGGGAAAATGACATTTCCGGTAGTTAACCACTTCAATGTATAATTTTCATGTACAATTGTCTATGCCTAATCACAGTATAATTTTAAGTTGCACTACTTATCTACTCCAAATATTACCAGATATTGTCATAAAATGGAAATGTTTCTAACCACCAGTATGACTTGATGCCAAATTGACTAGTACACGTAAAAGCTGATTCTCTTTAATGCTTCACTGTTAAGACACCTGCTCTTCCTTGCTTTTGGTATGGCATCATCTGAGCTCATTTCTGACCATGAATGTCAGTTGATTATTTTATACCTTGTTGAATTAAGGGTCTTGTTATCATGTTAGTGGGGTATTTTTTGCAGTCTTACAATTTATTTAAAGAAGATAAAGATTAGCCTGATAAACAGTGTTTATTTGAACATCAGTGTAATATTCAATGTACATGTATTTAATTTATTTATTTATCATTACAAGGGACATGTTCAACTTACCGAACAAGGCTGGTGCGGAGGCTATCTTACACTTCCTGTTTGACAAGCTCAACCCTGTCATGTGCAAGGAGGAGTTCAGGTAACCATGGTAACACAGTCACTGGAAACCATCCTTTTGGGTAGCCTAGTGGTACAATGTGTGAAGCCCATTTTAATTTCTTGGCACTGAAGGAAAACTGTCATATATTTAATTGAGACATATGTCTATCTGCAGTTATCAATCAGCCTGTTTTGAAATGTGTTTCTTCAATCAATACTACCGAACCTGGCATTTTGCCTTTTGATTATGTGATAACCGAGATCATCAAGAGTAGTTTTTGTTACACACAGCATTACCTGTATTGTACTCAATATGGTTGTATAATAGCATTTAAGTGTTTGATTCCCCACGACAAAAATTGTATGTCTTTTTGATTGAGGAGACAGTGAAAGAATTGGCTGGTTAGAAGTTATTTGGATGATAAATTACAGATATTTCTATGTAGCAGCAATTAGTTGACATGGGTTTGTCTAAGAGGGCAGAAATTGTTGTGTAGAGTTGTCAAATGAGCATGCCAGAAACCTGGTTCGAATCCCGGTTAATCCAGCTTATGCATCAAGGCTTGTCAGATCTATAAGGTGTTAAGCATTTGAGACCTGGATCACTGTTGGGTTTTGTTTAGTGGTGGTCCAATAAATTGAAATAATCGAAGATTGGTCGCAGTGACAAAACGATCAAGCAATCGAAAATGTTTTCTCATAATCGAACATAAACAATTTTGGAACACTTGTTTGCAAAAACAATATTTTTTCTCAAGGTTGGTTTGTCTGTGTCATTATCAGCGGGGGATATAGTATTAGGCTCTGTACGTACGAATTGGAATATCTTAAGAACCGTTCGCTAGATCTTTTCATATTTGGTACCTAGGTTCATCACAGTATAAGTTTGGTGACCTTGACCTTCATTTCAAGGTCACAAGGGACTAAGGTTTTACCTGCATGTTAAGCTATCCCAAGAACCGTTTACTGGATTTTCTTCATATTCAATACCAAGCTTTATCTAGGGAAGGCGCAGGGCCCAGTCGATTTTGGTGACCTTCACATAATTTTCAAGGTCATGGCGACACTTTGAAGATTTCAGCATGTAAACCTGCATGTTAAGCTATCTCAAGAACCGATCACTGGAATTTCTTCATATTTGACACCAAGCTTTATCTAGGGAAAGCGCAGGGCTTTCAAGACTTGCCTTGAATGTTTTTCAATAAGCAATCTCTTTTGTACTATTGCATTTTTCATACACTATAACATTCATGTCAAGGTCAAAGTCAATCTTGAAAATATGTGTGTGTTTGAACAACTACAGAACAAGATATCAAGAGAGGTTGACTGGTCATGTTTCTGTTGACATTTAACTTCATCTTAAACTTTCATTACTTTATAAGTTTGATTTGATAATTTGTTAAATTTATATTTCATAAGCACCATAAGCTCGTTCCAAGTCATGATTGATTTTATCTTAAAGATTCAAGGAAATTTATGTTCCTAACATACTAGCCATCTTTTAAATATGTGAAATATGAAAATGCATTTTGTTCAATTTGCAAAAAACCCAAAGAACTTCATGTTTTTTTCATTATTGTCCCCCGTCGCTTCAACGTGGAACGGGGTACTATGTATTCAGTAGCGTACGTATGTACCTCCCGATTCTTGTTAACGCGATATCTCATGAACTGTTGTACCCAATGTCTTCAAATTTGGTGACAGCCTACATTGGGAGATTACCCAGACACCAGTCGACTTGGGTGCCCTTGACCTTATTTTCAAGGTCACCACGAAACTTTGACCACTTTTCAAACTCTTGTTTTCGCGAAAAGTCATGGGCTGTTGTACCCAATGTCTTCAAACTTGGTGACAGCCTACACGGGGGGATTACTTAGACACCAGTCGACTTGGGTGACCTTGACCTTATTTTTAAGGTCACCAACACACTTTGAACACTTGTCAAACTGTTGTTAACATGATATCTCATGCACTGTTGTATCCAATGTCATCAAATGTGGTGACAGCCTACATTGGGGGATTACGCAAACACCAGTCAATTTGGGTGCCCTTGACCTTATTTTCAAGGTCACCACGACACTGACCACTTTTCAAACTCTTATTAACGCGATATCTCATAACTGTCGTACCCAATGTCTTCAAACTTGGTGACAGCCTACATTGGGAGATTACACAGACACCAGTCGATTTGGGTAACCTTGACCTTATCTTCAAGGTCACCATGACACTTTGACCACTTTTCATACAGGGCTCGATTTAAGAGATGTTAACCTACTTGCACCAGGTGCAAAATGAGATAAAAACCTAGTTGCACCAGCCAAATTCCAGTTGCACTGCTTTTATGGTAATATGTAATGAATGGAATATGCTATTGAATTATTTAGATGTTTTATTCAGAAGTTTACCCACTCAAAAATTGACCTGCTCCTTGTGCAAGTTAGACTAATAACTACGTTGCACGTACAAGTAACAAAGCACTAAATCGAGCCCTGTCATATCTCATGAAACATTGCACCCAATGTCTACAATTATGTCGACAACCTACATTGTGGGATTATGCAGACACCAGTGATTTCAGGTGTCTTGTATGTGACCAGAAAATTAAAAGTAGTAAATATGTTAAAAATATTCCATTCTTTAGCTGTGGGGGAATTGCCATATTAATATCAAACACTTGTTTATTTTGTGCATTAACAAACATAACAGGAACATTTGATAAATGATGCTAACCAATTATTTTTGATGACTGATCGGTTGTAATGGACCAGTGATCAATTATGACAATTTAACCAATTCCCAACCCTAGTTTTGTTCCATTTGAAGCTGATATGCCATGGTATGAACTGAAATATTAAATCAAACTCATTCTTTATGTGATATGTTGTTGTATGTTCCAGAGATTGCTGGCGTGTCACTGACAAGAAAACAGAAGCGATGTTCTACAGAGTGTGTAACAAGTGGCTAAAAAACATTCAAAAGGTTTGTAACGTCTTTGTTTGATTACATGGTTTCTTGGTTGCATGGTTACTTGGCTGAATGGTGATTAGACCACGTAGTTTGCAGAGATGACTAGTGGTGTTCCGATGATCGGAAAATATCGAAAAACGATCAAAAGAAGGATTAAAAATGATTATCGATTGTCAAAAAATATGTTTGATTAATCAGAATTTTGTTGTTTTTGTATAACACCCTTGAATTAAGTATACTAACCAGTTAATTTGATGAATGTTCACGAACAAAGATGCGCTCAACAGTGTAAAGCTATGCGCATTGTAAAATGTTAACCACTTTTATTGTTGAATTACAATTCCAGTGTCTTACTGCGTGCGTGCATTTCATTGCATGACAGTATTAGTTATAAAAAACATTAATTAGAAAAAACCTGGTGAAAAACACTTAAAATTGGTGATAACATTAAAAATGTATATATTTCGATTATAATCGATAATCGTTCACCACAAGTCCTCTGATAATCGATAGTGGATTTGGTTTCCGATTCCCAACACAAGAGCTGACACTCTCGCACAACCAAAGGGGTGATGGTTGACATAAAAATAAAGAATAGTCTCAACATATGAACAGTGGAACACAGGTTAGAGGTGGTAAGGGAGTGTTGTGTTTGGAGGTCTACCTGGAAACTGGATTGGATCCATCATGACTAAACTGGCAACAGGGCACAGACATCTACACACCAAATGCTCTGGCGCCATCATAATCGTGGACCAGTCTAAGTAAACTTAGGCTTAGTATTATTCGTAAAACTGCTATACTGAGTCTAACAAAACCTTGTGGAAGGGCGTGTCAGGTAACCTTTCCAATTGACCAATCAGAACACAGCTTACCAAATCGCGAAAGTGGACATTCGTACATACCTTTTGAACTTTTGCCCCGAACAAGTTTGTACCCGAACGATTCCGAATGCTATTTACGATCGGTTCCTAGTGATACACGCCACAGCAGTGAGTAAACACTCGCCGAAAATAGCGTTTTGTCAGTATTAAAGCTTGTCAACTTGCGGAAATATTAACTAATTATAACCATGTCAACAGGAACCCCAAAGCGTATATACTGCAGGTCAAATATCATTGTTTTATGCAGAATTTCATTTGTTGGGTGATCAGTGATGGGGACCGGGGACGAGAAAATACAAGCTCACGACTTGCACCTCTCTCTCTTGCTTCGACTTTTAGTGGAACGACTGTAAACTTTATTCCATATGCCTCCTTGTCCATTCGCCCGTGCACTCCATGCTGCTCTCCTTAATTAGCTTCCTAGTTCCTAATAAAGCTTGCAGCATGCTCCACTAATTGCCCACGTGACTACCTTACATGATCATTCTCTTTCTTGTCCGAGACTGTGTGGACGTGCTGTATATTAGGGACATTATTTCACCCTAACATTATGGGGAAAACAGATAATCAGTCAAGGAAAAGGAAAGTTTGTGCTCAATGCAAGACGAATTATTCGTCCCTCGACCCTCACTCGTCTTGCAGTGACTGTATTGGACAATGTAACTGGAACAAATGATGTGGCAAGTGTAATTCACTTAGAGATAAACATATTGTGTTTGGAAATTAGATGAATGCTAGATCAATTGATAGTCTCTAATTAATCATTTGAAACACGTGAGGTTTCAAATGATTAATTTAGTGACTATCAATTCGGTCTAACATTCATCTAATTTCCAAACACAGTATGTTTATTTCCATTCTACCATAACCGATTTAACATCGAACTTCCTCTTCCTCGCGGAAGACACGGCGTAATCCGCATGGGACGAGAGGCGAATTGAACTTGTCTGTGAAGGAGTGGTAGGTGCCGCTTCAGATTTTTTCGTTAACATTGCAACATAAAAATATATTCTGTCTAAAGAAAACAAACTACTGTTTATTCAATGCAATAATGTAACACCTAAGAGCTTGGTTTTATAATCATAATTCCACACGAATCGAAACCAGCCTATTGTTTTGTGTGCCGTGTTACTGTACCCCTGGCCACACTATAATGGAATCATCTGACCTACTTATTTTCTTGGAAGTAGACAGTTACTCAACAGTTTGAAATGGCGGATGAGCCAGTGAAAGGTTGAAATTCAGTGACAGTGGAAAATACTTGACTGACTGTCGAACCTGAACCCTGCAGAATCGAAGAATACATCCTTTTCTGATCGACCTATGACCTGTAATTCATCAAAGACTGTTGATTTTATGACCGGCGAGTGTCGATCATGATTTCAATGCACCTTACCTCCACCCGGCATGCATACAAAAGAGTGACAGTGCTGCTTTGTGTACATGCGACTAACTTGGGATTCCTTGGAACATTGTTCTCATCATTTTGGGACTGGATTGTGGCCAAGCTTTTCAAAGTGTACCTAACATAGCAGTGACAGCCTTGGCAGAGAGGTTGCAGAGAGCCGGAATTCCTCGTGGTTCAATTTTTTGACATTTTGAACGATGCAATGCCGATCGGGACATGATGGAGTATGAGTGGCCTAAATTTTGTGTGTTTAAGCCTGACCGTTATCTTGCGAATTTCTCATTCTAAATGGAAACAAATATACCATTTACCAGGTAGGTAAATGTTTACGAAACGCTTTGCCACACAAATAGGGATAGATAGGGATGTATTTTTAATTTTTACAAGGTTTTCTGATTTATATGTTAGATATTGTTTGTTTTATGTTTGGGGCTGTGTATTGTAATTGATTTTAAATATTTTTATAATAGAAGGTAATAGGGGTGTCACGATACGATCACGTTATCACGATTTTAAGGTCACGATCACGATATGTATCGCGATACATAATTTTCACGCTTTTTCATAGCATTACCTTACCGCAACGTCTGGCGCTGTTTGTTTGGTCCATCAAAATAGTCTAGCCAAATCACAAAAGCTGTTAGTTTCCAACCTATTTTTAAGTAAAGCTAGCTACATCTATTTATCGGAGCGGTCTCAGATAATTTTACTATCAAGACTTTGAAGGAGATGGATATAGCATAAAATTTTGAATCGATAAAAGTTTTAAAATAGGAATCGATACACGTAAGCATGTATCGCGTATCGTATCGTCAGTAAAATGCATCGATGCATCGATACATCTCGCTACGTGACGCACACACCCTAGAAGGTAATAATTATGATAGTGAGGTTCCCTAATAATTGTGGAGGAGAAATCATATAATTGTATTTTTCGAGTTTTAATAAATGTTTCATTAGCATTTCCATCACGTCGATCTGTTGTGTTGATATTAGTCATGTTGGTGGCCAAGCTGAAGTAGTGCGGCAGTGCTGTATACGCGAGTGAAGCGCCCGTGAAATCAGACGCATTTTCAATCCAAATTGATACCGCCTCTGATTTTATGGATTGACAAATCAAATTTGAGCATTTCACGTAGCCATGGTAGAATACAAGATGAGGATTTTAAGGCCTATCTTCGTGTTTGCTCCCCGGAGAATCGCCGAAAGGGACAGGAAATCAACAGAATCTGATCCCACTCTCGCCAAGCGCATATCAAGTTCCAGCGACAGAAAATCGTGACCTTCACGCCAAAAAAGAGGCATCGCCTGGGGTTCAAGAGGATTTTATGGACGCTTCATCAAATTCTTACTAATCTGAGGGTCGCTCGCACCTATTACGCGCACATCAATCACCTCCTTCCATAGCGCCAGATCACTCGTGGTGGTTGTGGATCGATAATTCATCGCTGCCTCGTCCCATCTACACTACCAGGGGACCTTAGATCGACACATCATCATCCAGATCATCGGTACATATCCCTCGACTGTCTCAGTTTGTTTTGAGCCTGGCCAACTTCGCGCTCAACCAGCCAACTGTTCCCCCACAGTTCATGGAACCGATGGAGCTGGCTACAACAGCTGCCGCCGGGGACGCTCATCATGAATTAACACTTCAGGTTTCATTACCTAATCGCATCCAGATCACCAAATCAAGCCAGATCGCACTGCAACCAGATCACCTGTTCGATCCAGATCACCTTATAGATCCAGATCACGCATCACAGTTTCCAGTTAGTGCATCGAATCGATCCAGATCACTTTACAAATCCAAATCATCTTACCAACCCAGGTCACCTATACGCATCAAGATCACCTTACAGAGCCATTGACCAATCGAGATCGCGAGTACAGATCCACATCTCATGGCTGATCCTATTCAGATGGTCGAACCAGAGTTCCAATCAGAACCAGATCACCAACTAGAACTACAGCTTACTCGGACTAGTTCTTTCATATCATACCGGATCACCTAGCCATACTAGGGAATCCAGATCACCGGGCTTACCACCTACTTCGGGTACTTACCACGCCGAGATCTCGATACAGTTCCTCTGACCGACATTCGGGTGATTATTGCTCTGATACCACTAATAGGGCCTACAGTCTCTTACGATGTTCCGCCTACACGCTCTGAGAATCCTTCACTCACTCTAGAATCATCGCTGAGTCATTAGAACCTGATTACAATCCCACTCCTACAGCTTAATCTCGATCTAAATATAATGATCAGGGCCATAACCTCAGCCTGGAACCAAATACAGCCTTCTACTCCAGCCCATCCGCTTCGTAGCTCCTGGCTCTTCATCTGGTCCACCTCCTGAGATTGATCCAGTCCAAATAGCCATGCCTGCATCTCCCCTACCACTCTGAGTTATCTCTATCCCTGAGGGTAGCTTTGCAGCAGTTGGAGACACCACAGGTACCCTTTGGATTGTTGAGAAGCTCAATCTTCCCTTGAGTACTTCAGCAGATGACCTGGATCACTCTTATACTCTTAGGAACCGGGATTGGTCTACCATCACCCTACCACCTTGACCTTGTATTCTGAAATTATCCAGTATACTAAATGATGGTTTCAAGAGCCTGAAACGAATTAGGACGGATTCTCTGCTCCCAGATATAATCCGCCTATCTCTCATGTCCACGACCTAACAAAAATCTCTACGGCTCCAACAGTTGATGATGATATTGGAACCCTGTGTGGCAAATGAGCTGCTTCACCCTACCTTATTGAGGACTGACTGTTGGCTCACATGGATTCAGCCGTGAAAAGATCGCTGCCATCTATTAGTATGCCTGATTGCAGCAGCTCCACGCTGTTAACACTGCTCTGGAGCATACTTATTCTGATCAAGACGCTTACATCTGAGGATGCATGACTCAAGCTCTGACCAGTTCCAAATTGTCCTGGATCAGTTGATTCATTTTTGGGCTACACTCTTGCTGTTCGCTGACGCACCCCTTAACATCTCTTCATGGGAGGAGCGATTTAAAATAGAACTGTTTCACCAGCCTTGGTTTCCTGACTCCCTTCAATGGTAGCATCCAAGAAGTATCTACTAAGGTTGAAAAGAAACCCACTTTCAAGTCTCGGGATTGAACTGTTAAAGATAAAGAAGTCACAGCTCCAGGACTCATTAAAACAGCCGAGAACTGCACAGTTCACCCCTACCAATCTGGATTTACGCAATCTTTTGTGGCTTAATCCACTCAAGGCTGTGGTAGAGGAAACAGATGTAGCTGGTGGTTCCTCCCATCGCCCCCCTAGGACCAACTCTGGCCCAGCCACCAGCGCCAGGAAGCAGTGACGGCGCTGAGATAATCGCACAACTGGGACTGGGACCTCCTGATCAACACCCGCGCTAATCCTGCGAGCCTACACCTTTGCAGGGTTGCCTCCTCCAGCCGCCTTCCAATCCTCATGAGACTCCTGCACTAGCCACGACGATGGCCCTCCATAGCAACTGCTCCTTGACCGCTATCATGGAAGGTTGCTTCTGGCGTTCTGATACAGTCTTCTCTTCACATTACCTGCGAGACCTGTCTGTCACGGATGTCCAGGAACTACACCTGTTCGGACCTCTTGTACTGGCTCAGCAGCTTACATCGGGCCAACAACGCAGATGAGGGACGGTTCCGCATTCGCGTTACTGCTTCCTTGTATATACTGAATAAAAGTTGAACTGGATCTCAACCTTTTGTTCTCATTATATGGGTTTAGGAACTACTTCACTTGGCCTCCATACCAAGGCATCGGAATACGGCCACCTAGCGTGGCCCTACCGACCTGAGGCACAATCAGTATGACGATACAGAGGTGTTCGACATTCATGCTTACTGACCTCTACTCCACAGAGTAATTACATCAGTGAAGTGTGACACTCCCGAATTCCAGTGGATTTCGTTGCGTTCTGCCTCCAAAGTTGTCGGGCACATCCTTTGACTAAGCTTAGTCAAAGGAGTGAGGGTCAATTTGATGCTGCCCGGAACTGAACGTTAAACCTTGGAGATGCCGAGTTGTGTTTCTCTTTCACCCGCCTCGGTCAGTGTCTGGGGGAAGCAGGGATGGCCCTTCTAGTCGCAAGACTTTTAATTACGGGGGTACCTTGTAAATCGTGGCGGTAGGCGAGGCCTACTTGCCGAGTTGCGTCCCTTGTCTTGTACAAGTTTGCAGCAAAACACCACATCGCTCGGGAGCACTCATCTCCCTGGGGGTCCTTGTGCTTAGTAAACCATGGGGTTCCAGAGAACCCACTACAAGCATAGGAGTTGCATGCATGCGTAACAGGCCTCCCTTGTACATCGCTATCTACGGTTGTCATCAGTCCACACAGCTCCAAGACCAGCTGTTCGCACTGTCCAGACAGAAGGGTAATTTGTGGCCCGCCGTCCAACCGTGGGATAAGTGCAAGTCGTGAGATAGGATAAATTTAAAAATTTGGAAATTTTAATATGAAATGTATATTTATATACTTATCCTATCTCACGCGATGGATGCCCGCGCGCCTCCCCTATACTCAGATTACAACGTTGGCTCCAAGATGAGAATGATCATTCAAGGTAGTCACTTGGGAAATTAGTGGAGCATGCTGCAAGCTTTATTAGGAACTAGGAAGCTAATTAAGGAGAGCAGCTTGGAGTGCATGGGCGAATGGACAAGGAGGCCTATGGAAAAAAGTTTACAGTCGTTCCACTAAAAGTCGAAGCAAGAGAGAGAGGTGCAAGTCGTGAGATAGGATAAGTATATAAATATACAATTTATATTAAAATTTCCAATTTTGTAAGTCCCACCGAACCCAAAATAGTAGCCAATATCTGATTGGTTAAATCCCTTCAGCCGTCTCGCCTTTGATTGGATGGTCATAGGTCGCTCAAAGGTTACCTGACGCGACCTTCCACAAGGTTTTGTTAGACTCAGTATAGCAGTGAAACGAATAATACTGAGTTTAGGTTACTTAGCCTGAATCGTGGACTGTTTTCAGTCAATGTGTTCCAGCTTTTCCAACTATTACCTCTGAGATCTGGTGCAAGAAGACGTCAGATGGTCGTTATAGGCACAATAACTTGTCATTACCATTTCTGTGTTCAGGAGGAGCCTGACTCGCATCTGCCCCGCATCAACGCGTCCCTGTTTATGTCTCCTGGAGGGGAACGGTTCTATCAGCTGCTCTTCAGCTTCACCAGCTATGTCATGCAGCAGGTCATCAAGCGAGACTGTGGTAAGTTGCCTCTACACACAATATGGCTGGAATGAGGAAAGTCTGTGTTTGATCCCTGACTGCATCAAGCAAAGGGATATGAAAAGATGGTTCTTGCCTGGTCTGGCACTTGATATTAAGGAAATAACACTAGAGCTGGCCTGCTTGGAGCCTGTATAATGTGTGGGGTATCCATGTTAAAGGTACCCGTGAAGATCCGGGTTAAAATTGGTCTTCAGTAACCCATGCTTGTCGTAAGAGGCAACTAATAGGATCGGGTGGTCAGACTCGCTGACTTGGTTGACACATGTCATTGTATCTCAAATGCATAGAATGATGCTCATGATGTTGATCACTGGATTGTCTGGTCAAGACTGGATAATTTAGAGACCACCACCATATACTTGAATACTGCTGAGTGCGGCATTAAACAACAAACTAAGCATCCATGTTAAAGAGGCATGGTATCTAAGTTTGAATAAAGCTATAAAGCATAAGTACGGATTTGGACAAAAAAGTCACAAACGCACACACTTTCAACACAGAAATATCTTCAGAGGTACGATATTGGAGATTTTAACTGGGATTGAGTAAGCCAGGTTTGTTTCTTCAGATGTGAAGCAGCGTGATAAGCTGACCTGTCCGCAGCTGTCCTCACACAACAAGCATCTGAGTGATGTCATGTACCGCATGCTGCAGTGTGGGATCGTGCAGCGCAGAGGGAAGTTCCTGGAGCAGGTGGACAGAACCATCTCCGTCAGTGAGGAGTGGAGAGAAACAGCCAGGTGAGTGAGGGAGGGACAGAAGGAGTTTAGGTGAGTGAGTGTAAAGAGAGGGGGCTAGGGGAGAAGAGAGAGGAATAAGCTTGTGGGATCGTGCAGCGTAGAGGAAAGTTCCTGGAGCAGGTGGACAGAACCATCTCCGTCAGTGAGGAGTGGAGAGAAACAGCCAGGTGAGGGAGGGAGGGAAGGAGTTTAGGTGAGTCAGTGTAAAGAGAGGGGGCTAGGGGAGATGAGAGAGGAGAAAGCGTGTGGGATCGTGCAGCGCAAAGGGAAGTTCCTGGAGCAGGTGGACAGAACCATCTCCGTCAGTGAGGAGTGGAGAGAAACAGCCAGGTGAATGCATGGAGAGGGTCAAGGGAAGAAGAGAGGGGAGATGGCTTGTAAGAAAAAGAGGGGTGGGTAAGTAATTGATTGATGGGAGAGAGAGCGAGAGATGGTTGGATAGATGAGTGATGAGTTCAACGAGAGGGCCTGAGGGAGAAGAGAGAGGCAGCTTGTCAGAGGAGAAAAGGGTAGATGAGTGATAAAGGTAAGAGAGAGGACAGAAAAGAAAGAGACCTTTGAAAGAAAGAGGGGTGGGTGGGGAGGTGATTGATGAGTGGTATGAGAGAGAGAGAGACACACACACAGCTTGTCAGAGGAGTAGTGGATAGATGAGTGATGAGAGATAAGAGAGAGGAGAAAAGATAACAGCTTGTGGTAGAAGGAGGAGGGGGATTGATGAGTGGCAAGAGAGAGAGAGACACACACACACAGCTTGTCAGAGGAGTAGTGGATAGATGAGTGATGAGAGATAAGAGAGAGGAGAAAAGAGAACAGCTTGTGGTAGAAGGAGGAGGGGGATTGATGAGTGGCAAGAGAGAGAGAGAGACACACACACACAGCTTGTCAGAGGAGTAGTGGATAGATGAGTGATGAGAGATAAGAGAGAGGAGAAAAGATAACAGCTTGTGGTAGAAGGAGGAGGGGGATTGATGAGTGGCAAGAGAGAGAGACACACACACACAGCTTGTCAGAGGAGTAGTGGATAGATGAGAGAGAGGAGAAAAGAGAACAGCTTGTGGTAGAAGGAGGAGGGGGATTGATGAGTGGCAAGAGAGAGAGAGACACACACACACAGCTTGTCAGAGGAGTAGTGGATAGATGAGTGATGAGAGATAAGAGAGAGGAGAAAAGAGAACAGCTTGTGGTAGAAGGAGGGGGGGATTGATGAGTGGCAAGAGAGAGAGAGACACACACACAGCTTGTCAGAGGAGTAGTGAATAGATGAGAGATAAGAGAGTGGAGAAAAGAGAACAGCTTGTGGTAGAAGGAGGAGGGGGATTGATGAGTGGCAAGAGAGAGGGAGAGAGGCAACTTCTCAGAGGACGAGTGGGTGGATGAGTTGTGAGCTGTAAGAGAGAGGATAGAGGGAGAAAAGAGAAAACGGCATTTGAGAGGACGACTAAGTTAGTTCAGAAAGACAGCTGACCCTACCTGTGATCCTGCAGTGCAGCATTACAATGATAACCGTCTCTCCTGCAGTGAACTAGTGAGGGAGAATCGCCGCCTGTCCAAAAGTATCCGAGAACTAGAACATCAGTTGCGGGAAGAGATACAGAGGGCACATGAGAAGGGGCTCGCTCGTGGCAGGTATGTCCCGACAGTTTGTTGCTAAAATTTTAAAATGATCAGCTGTACCTAATAGTAAAAATAATATGTATCTGAATATGTTTTTTTTTTTAGGAGAAATACTCTGTTAGTATCATAAAACTAATCGGGCTCTGTATATTGCATTTTGTTGTTATGGTAGTTTATTTATAGTCCTTCAAAGTTGAGAGGTCGGTTGTTGTAATTGAAATCTTTGTACGTCATGCAGTAGACCTGGTTCGATTTAGGCACATCTACCTGGCTGGCAATGACTATTGATATTGCTCTGCTTTTTAAGATTTAAAGACATACAATTGTTGTACTGCTAGAGTACAGCTGGAGTAATTTCTGTTTCAGTCCGATGCCATCCAAGAGAAAGTCCTTCACCTCAGAACATGATCGTACTCCACAAAACATAAGAAGAGCCCAGAGAGTTCAGAAAGTAAGTTAGCAGACTCAAAACTTTGCCTGCTGGTACAGTAGCTTATTTACAAATATTTGACTGATTATAAGGAATCATTTTGTGTTTAGAAAGTAACAAAAGAACGACAAGGAATTATGGATTATCTGCCTTATGTGAATATGTTTAGTGTAAGCCTTTTTATTATCTTGAACAGTAATGTCTTTCAAATTTGAGCAGCAATTTATAGCCAAGTGCTGATAATACTCCCTGGTGAAGCCCATCGCCAGTATTTTTCTGCTGATTATTGTTAAATAAAGCATAAAATCAAACTTACTTTGTACATTAATGTGGAAAATAAAGTGGAATCTCTCTAAACTGAACTTTGGTTCTGCAAATGCCCAAACAATTATATGATCCTGAATTTCATATGTTAATTTGCTCAGAGTCAGACTTGAAGTCTTGGTTGACATGTGTCATCGTATCCCAATTGTGTAGATCAACACTCATGCTGTTGATCATTGGTTTGTCTGGTCCAGACTCGGTTAGAGCAGATCTTTCATCATTAGTTCACCTTCCATCAAAACCCATTCTGTTCTTGTAGACATATTTAATCAAGGGACAACTCATGTGATAATCCTCTCCTTCACAGGCACGAGACAAGTGGAAAAAACTGGACGCGTTTTGTAACTTTGAGACTCGAGAACGGCACGTGATTGAGTCAATCCTGGACCGAACGGTGCAGAAGTATCACATTGATGCTGCAGATATCAGCGTCAAGGTCCCAGATCTTCTCTTGAGGGAGTGTGAAAACGAAATCTTGAAGGTATGTAGAATGGAATGTTTACTATGGTGGTAATAATTGTGTTTGACCAGTATGTGGTCTAACTTTTCTCAAGTTTGTTTTTAGTCAATATTCTGTGAGGCTTTCCATGAATAAGTATATACCATAATGATTCAGTGGACTTGTAAAACACCTCAATTAGACTTGTATTTGAGCATTATTTTAAAATATTGAAAACAATTCCATTTACAGCTGTTAACAGAAACGATTCTGAATTATCCACTGCAACTACTGCAAAGTGTTTCCCATTTTCTTATATGAATCTAGGTTGGTCCAGTTGATGTAGGCACCTCAACTTGTTGAGAGTTGCCCCCCTTGCCAGAATCTTGGGATTTTTTTTAACAAAATTTTTGTAACCTAGATGCTATGATGTAATCAATTAGAGTGGGAAGAAACTTAAAACTGAAGTTTCTGATGTAAAATGAAGGAAAGTATCCTAACTGGTGTTCGATGCCATCAGATGCGGTGCATGATCATTGCATTGTTTTTGAGATCCAGCAATCAGGTATTCTTGCTTGTCTGAATACTTTGACCATTTGTATGGAGAATTCAGAATCTTCAGTGTTGAAGCTGATTATGGTGTTCACTCAGACCATCTTCCTATGCAGTTGTCCTGAGATGTGCATGAGAGGTATAGTATCACAGTAAAAGATCTGATTATGATGGGATTAGAAATGTCATATCATCATCAGGACTTGTGGCAAAAAAGTCATTCATAACTGAAACCCACTGCTCCAGGCCTGATATAAAGACATGATTGTTTCAGCGACATGTTGACAATACCTACCAGGGAGGACGTCTGAATCTCCTCAGTCTCATTCAGCTGTGGAACCTGTCCCTGCATCTCTACATAGAGAGATTCCATCAGGGTGAGGATGCACTTCTATGTAGTGAAACACAGCCATTTCATACTTCATTGGCAACCTAAACATGCTTTGCCATGGCAACTAACAGTATTGGGTGGTCAGACTAGTTGACTTGGCTGACACGTCATCATTACCCAATTGCATAGATCGATGTTCATACTGTTGATCACTGGATTGTCTGGTCCAGACTGTATTATTTACAGACCGCCGCCATATATCTGGAATATTGCTGAATTCAGCTAGAAACTCATTGGACTTTTTAGGCAATATAGGGCTCCAGTATCCACTACTTGTTGTAACAGCTTGTGTAAGAGTGTATCGATATGTGATATGACTGTGTTATATCCTGGTGTTCATGCTGTCAACCACTGGCTTGTCTGGTCCAGGCCTGATTACTTACTGTCTGCCTTAGGGGCGGTGGGGTAGTCTAGAGGTTAAAGCAGTCACTTGTCACGCCTAATGCCTGGGTTCGATTCCCCAAAGGGTACAATGTGTGAAGCCCATTTCTGGTGTCCCTTCCCCTGATAATGCTGGAATATTGCTAAAAGCGACATAAAACCATACTCACTCACTGTCTACCTTACTGTACATAAATGGACATAATCTCTCTCTCTCTTTCTCTCTCTCTCTCTCTTTCTCTCTCTCTCTCTCTCTCTCTCTCTCTCTCTCTCTCTCTCTCTCTCTCTCTCTCTCTCTCTCTCTCTCTCTCTCTCTCTCTCTCTCTCTCTCTCTCTCTCTCTCTCTCTCTCTCTCTCTCTCTCTCTCTCTCTCTCTCTCTCTCTCTCTATATCTCTCTCTCTCTCTCTAAATCTCTCTAAATCTCTCTAAATCTCTCTCTAAATCTCTCTAAATCTCTAAATGGACTATGTATTCAGCAGTGTCCGTATGTCCCGATTCTTCTTAACACGATATCTCATGAACTGTTGTACCCAATATCTTCAGATTTGGTGACTGCCTACATTAGGGGATTACACAGGCACCAGTTTATATGGGTGACCTTGACCTTATCTTCAAGGTCACCACGACCGCCTTTCAAACTTATATAAACATTGCACCCAATCTTTTCAAATATGTTGACAGCCTACATTGGGTGATTAGGCAGACACCAGTCATTTCAGGCATCTTGTATGTGACCAAAAAGTAAAAAGTAGTAAATATACATATTCCATTCTTTAGCGGCGGGGACATTGCCATATCAGTGGCAAACACTTGTTTATTCAACAGTTGTTACAGTAGCTGTTGAGCAAGTGTTTCTAGGAGTGTAATTCTGAAATATAAGAGTGTACCTGATGGAGGTTTAGACACCCAATCCTTGAGATTATATCTGTTTATTTATTTAAATTCCCATGTGGTAATAAACACAAAAGATTTGCAATGATATGTATACATGATATGTTGCATGAGAAAGCCTATACTGGCAAACAAGGATAAGTTGAGCACCGACGTGACAATTGACCCATATTAGCATGTATGAGTGCCACCCACAGGCGCTTGTCATTGTGAGCGAAGGGGCCCGAGGTTGTCTGCGATCAAGTGTAGTACTACACTGACCAAGTGAGTCTTATCAGCAAGGCGTGTGCAGCTATGTGCAGAATCAATTTCATCGTCATGCACTGCACGTGCACTAGCCTATATCTGCTCTACCTTTCAATAACCAAATGGATTTGCTCATTGCCGTGCACCGCCTACTTCATGTAAACGTGTGCTCTGCGGTCCAACTTATCCTTGTTTGCCAGTAGTTATGTTTGAAGTCAAATGTCTTATTAACGATAACAATAGTGATTTAAAGTACTGGTGTTAGTGTGTTTGTATGTTTGTATGGTGTTTAGGTCCAAAAGTATGACCATGTCGAATTTGCCGGAACAGAATGTTCAACCATTGTAAACTTTCCTATCGCCAGTGGGAGTGCCAAGTTTAGAGACAGAATCCAGTCACCTAACGGCTGCAGTCCACACACATCAGGCCCAAACTGCCAATGCTAATGCCTTCCAGTAAGTAGGAGTCTCTTCTCCAGCTAGGTTTTAATACACAGGGACCACCTCCATGGTTGATTGATCATCTGTCTTGAGAGCAGAAAGCTTGTGGTTCTATTGCATGGGCATATTGTACTGAAGATAAGGGGTGACTTTTGAGGGGGAAACAACTATTGCAATGGCAATAGTCTATTGCAACATGCTATTGCGATAACGATAGGCTATTGCAACCAACTATTGCAATTGTTTTATTCTCCTTGAATTGTCCCATTTGATGTCATTTCCCAAATGAATGTATAGTTTATATGAAATATAAACAAGTTGTTGAAGTAGTTTCAGTCTCTTTTAATAAATGACAAGAAACTTGAAAACCAGTTACAGTAAACATTTACAACATAAACTCAATGAAGCTGCAAGTCTGCACCCAAACATCCTGTACTTTACGCTGCGCATTTATCAACGGAAGTCAATTACTAAACTATCAATGCATCAATTTTTTTTCCGATTCTATCATCGATTAATTGCTATCGGAGACTCGACAATTGCAATCCATCGATAGTTCGATGCATCATTACAGTCCTACTGAAGATGGTAAAAGATTGTACTTGTTGCCCGTCTGGAGATCAGCATAAGGGGATAAATCAAAACTGGCCTGCTTTAACTCAGTACATTGTGTTTCTCTTTGTAAGGAGTGCACAATAAACTGCAGCATGATATCTCAATGGGCAGCCTCACACATGCATGCACGTCACTGTATCAATGCAGTAATCACAAATTAGACTTTCCAAAATATTTTAAAGTTTTTTTGTTAAGTAGAAGTATCACAGCTGAAGAAACACTCAATATAAGTGGACTGTATGAAAAAGGGCACCACCAGTAACATTGATAAATGTTGCAAAATGTCATTTTGTTTACAGGAAAATGTTATCTGATGATTTTTTGCCGCTCCTGAAACAGTCAGTCTCCCGTCTTCGTGAGAAGCTTGAGGCAGACACCAGCTGCCTGACAGATACACCACAGTCAGGACGCACCAAGGTAATTGTACTTACACAGCCTTCAAAATTACGGCTGGTCCACTGACCCGAGACAAATTGTCCTGGGGACAAGTCAAATTCCATTGCTGTTGATCACTGGATTGTCTGGTACATACTCGATTATTTAGAGACCACCGCCATATAGCTGGAATATTGATGAGTGCAGCATAAAACTAAACTCTCTCACTCAAATTCCATTGATGGCAGTCCTTACTGACAAGAGAGGGGCAGTGGGGTAGCCGAGTGGTTAAAGTGTTCGCTTGTCAGGCTGAAGACCTGGGATTGATTCCCCACATGGGTACAATGCGTGAAGCCCATTTCTGGTGTCCCCTGCTGCAATGTTACTGGAATATTGCTAAAAGCTGCATCATACACACTCACTTACTGACAAGTAGCATTACTGAATGCTCAGTGCTTCAATGTTGCTACAAATTGTAATGGAATAGAACTGACAGAAATTGTGAATATAGTAAACCGTTTTTGTTTTTTCAAGCAGGACCAGCCAGAAACTCTGAGAACCAGTAAAATAAGGTTTACACTTGTCTTCTGGACTCACCTTAAATAACCTTCTATTTTGGTATGAAATATTGCTTGCTGTGATTCAGCAATGTTTCAGCAATGATTCAATTGCTGTGATTCAGCAATGTGATTCAATTCTTGCTATGTATGCTAATTTGTTACGTCAATGCTTTCATCTTTCAGCCGGTTGGCCTTGGTCTGTTTTCATCAACACCTCCATTATCCTTCACCCCCAAGGATGAGGACCCTGTCCCCCCACAGTCTGCTCTGCACATCACCCCACAAAACGAAGCCGGTGAATATAGCATTGCCTTCATTACATAGTTATATGAAAGATTGAATATTTTTAGAGATATCAATCATTGCTCTTGCTGTATCTGTAGATCTGATCTGATTAACAGAAATTGGCTGACACTCTGTCTACATTCACCTGTTCAGCATTAACTGGAGAGCTAACAATATATTCCCATGCAGGGGTTTCCCGGGTTAAAATCCCATCAACTTATACTGGTTGAGGCGATGTTAATGGATGAGGCTCAGTGTCTTTGTTGATTACATGTCATTACATCATTGTCATTATACAGCATTGGTGGTTGCTCTCAATGTCAATCAGTCGATTGTCTGGTTGAGACTCAATTATTCACAGGCAGCCATCACGTAGCTGGAATATTGTTGACTGTGGCGTCAGACTACAAACATGCATAGAATGTTATAGAAAGTGATTATATGCTTTAAGAATTACTTTGATCACTCATACGCCTTTATAGGATATGTATAGATTTGTCAGTGAGTATGAATTAAGATGCTATTATGTCCCTTGCAAACAAGCTTCAATTCCTGTGATTTTGATGAATGGATAGTTTCTGAATCATGTAAATGATTGAGATGAATATGTTGGAAAACTTCTTAATGAAAAGTTTTTGTGTCTTTTGAGGTAGGATGAATCAATAATTATCACAAGTGAATTCATAACTCATGTTTTGTTTGTATGTTCAGTGATGACTCCAGAAGCTGCTGATTCCATTGCCAGCACTGTGATAAAGTCAGCCCGCAATGTGGCCAAGACACTTTTCCAGGGCAGCCCTGTCTATGCTCCCAAGATGGCGATGCAGGGGAGACTACCCTTCTCTGACAGGTACTGTGGTATTGCCAGTACTTTATGAAGCAGTTTCCCATTCAGGAGATATTTAAATCATGCTGGTTTTGATACTGAATATTATAATAAGGCTGTGAGATTTGGTTTTCTTTTCTGTTGCAACTTCATCATATGTAGTTTGACCTGAGGCTACATCCACCAGCTCGTCTTATTAGTAAGAGGCGGTGGCGTAGCCGAGTGGTTAAAGTGCGCTGAAAACCTGGGTTTGATTTCCCACATGGGTACAGCAGTGAAGCCCATTTCTGTCTTCTCTCTCATGATATTACTGGAATATTTCCAAAAGCGACATAAAACGCAACCGCTCTCTTATTGGTATCATTACTGTAACAAGTATGGAAATACCATGATCATGGAACTGCACCGTGCTACCATCGCAAATCTGATTCCTTGTTCAGTGTCCTTTATATGCTCAGTAAGCCAGTTTGCTACAAGTTCCCAACACAGAATAACACTGATGATGACTAAGGGATAGGACAAGGACTGGTCAGCTCAGAGCCAGTACACTGTGTCTGAGTTGTATTCATGTTATTACTGTGGCATACTATCTATGTGGGCAAGCAGTATAGGAAATATTTAGTTACTGGCTTATAGTTACTGGCTTGTAGATTCATCTGATATTGTTTAGCAGTGTATACTGTGTAGCATTCACTCACACCAAGGACCAAGATCTGATTTACCCCTTCAGAACAGTATGTCAAGCGAATTCATGGTTTCACATGCAATGACAATTGGAAGGTTTTGTTTCAGAATTGACACAAGTAAAATTCCACAGCCAAAGCAGATTAAAAAGGACAGGCCAACAAGCAGTAGGACCCCATCTAAAGCAAGGGAACACCTGTATCAGCAGTCTGTGCAGGTAAGCAGAGGGTATGCTCTGAACAGTGAAATGGATGGTCTGAACAGTAAGGGGGATGCTCTGAACAGTGAAATGGATGGTCTGAACAGTAAAGGGGATGATCTGAACAGTAAGGGGGATGCTCTGAACAGTGAAATGGATGGTCTGAACAGTAAAGGGGGGATGATCTGAACAGTAAGGGGATGCTCTGAACAGTAAAGGGAAGATCTGAACAGTAAGGGGTGCTCTGAAATGGATGGTCTGAACAGTAAATGGGATGGTCTGAACAGTGAAATGGATGGTCTGAACAGTAAAGGGGAAGATCTGAACAGTAAGGGGGTGCTCTGAACAGTGAAATGGATGGTCTGAACAGTAAATGGGATGATCTGAACAGTAAGGGGGATGCTCTGAACAGTGAAATGGATGGTCTGAACATAAATGGGATGATCTGAACAGTAAGGGGGATGCTCTGAACAGTGAAATGGATGGTCTGAACAGTAAATGGGATGATCTGAACAGTAAGGGGGATGCTCTTAACAGTGAAATGGATGGTCCAAACAGTAAAGGGAATGATCTGAACAGTAAGGGCGGTGCTCTTAACAGTAGAGAGGGGGCTCTGAACAGTAAAATGGATGCTCTGAACAGTAAAGGGGATGATCTGAACAGTGAAGCAGATGGTCTGAACAGTTGAAATGGATGGTCTGAACACTAAAAAGGAAGGTCCTACAATAAAGGGGATGTTTGTGGAAGAATAGTGAGATGGAAGGTCTTAACAGCAGATGGGAGATGTGACAATGTTTATTTGTCTTTGTGCCCTTCAGAGAGCAAGCGTATGCCAATCTCGTGTCAGGAAATGACTTGTTAACCTTGAGGAATATGAACATTTCAGACTCCAGATACCAGCTTACGAGGCCCTCACATGTCAATCCTGACAGATCCTGTGTCCGATGTCATGTCTTCCAGTGCTTCAACTCGCTCCAGCACTCTCACAGAATCACAGATGGGCCCTGGCACTCCACGGAATATTGCAGGGATTAGAGAATTGTGGAATGGTGCAGTGGAGAGTAATGACAACACACTCACAGACTCAAAAATATTTCCAGGAACCCCACATAGTGTTACAGGAATCAGAGAATCATGGAATGGTGGGATGGAGAGTAATAACAACGCACTCAAAGAATCAAAAATAGGTCCTGGCACACCACGTAGCGTCAATGGTGGTGATGTGTTGATCAAAACAACTCCCAACAAGGAACCTTTCCTCCCTGTGCAGCAGCAACGGGAACAAATGTGGATGAGTTTGTGGATGAAGTAAGCAAATTATCTGTTTTCAACACTTCAAATCTGTCTTTTTTTAAATGTCGTATAAAAGAAATGATGTGGCAAATGGTGTTCTGTTTTTGAGTGAGTATGGTTTTACAGCGCTTTTAGCAATATCACGGCAGGGGACACCAGAAATGGGCTTCACATATTGTACCCATGTGGGGAATCGAACCCAGGTCTTTGGCGTGACGAGTCAACGCTTTAACCATTAGGCTACCCCACCGCATCTTTGTGTTTAAAGTTGAAGGGGTCATCAGGTGCTGTATATTATTTGAATGTAGAGCTCTGATATCTTTTCCATAAACATTAGGGTTGTGATAAGGACAACTTGACTTTCATGTTTATTGTTTAACAATGGTGTCATTGACACAACTAATACCTTTGTACTCTGGTCCTCAGATTGTGTCTCACATGCTCGACCTAGAGGACTTTGAGGACACTGAGAACCAGCCCCCTCTCAACTACGCCCAGAGGCTGCAGGACCAGACTCGTTCCATCCTGCGCAGCCCTTTCTCCGAGTCATATCCTCAAACTGTTGTAAGGGATGAGGTGGATCTAAATTCAAGCAACAACAACCACAAGCACCATAAACTGGAGGCACAGCAGGATAGATATTCCAGCAAAGGACAAAATGTTTCATTGATAGAAGATGTTAGCAAGAGTTTGGACAGAGAGGAATATTTAGAAAAATCGGATTTTGAAAGAGGTTCAGAAAAAAACAATAGAAAGATTGCCATGTAGTTTTGTGGGAGGCGGCTTCAAACTGCACGAGCCATCATCAGCATCTTCATCTGGCCCTGTACAGCGTAGTCCGGTGGAGAAACAGGATCCAGATGCTTTCAGGTATCCTGGTGTACCGTTTGTCTTTGTGAAAAATGGGCCACCAATTCCTACGTCAGGACAGAAACCCCATCATGCTTTGTACAGGAGTACGGATGGTAAAGTGTTTAGACATCCTGACATGCCTGAAGACGTATCTCCCGAGATTGGTCAGCATGGAGGCCCAAGGTTACGGAAAGTTGTCCATTCTCCACCTGACAAGCACCTCAGTCATCCCGTCTTTCCAAACTCGAGTTCATTGGAGGACTTGCACCGAACAGCACAAGATGTGTCGCATCTGTCAGAGGAACTTGCAAAGTCTGTTTGCATTGAGGATGGGGCAGGTGTGGATGGACAATCAGCAGAGCGAGAGGCAGCATCAGGGACAACAGTCACATCTCCATCCCGGGGTGTCGCAACATCTGTTCATCAGACGGACATTCCTTTGTCACCAAGCCAGAATAGCAGTGAGTACAAACTTTCTATAGATACATCTACTGAGCACTGTAAGAACAGTAGGGTCAGTGATGTAGCCAAATCTCTGATTATTTCTAAAGACCAAGGTTTTAATCCCCAACAGCTCGTTTTAAGAGATGTTAACCTACTTGCACCAGGTGCAACCTAAGATAAAACATAGTTGCAGCCAAGTTCTAGTTGCACTGCTTTTATTGCAATATGTAATGTAAGAAATATGCTAGTAAATTATTTAGATGTTTTATTCAGAGTTTGCCTACTCAAAAATTGAGTTGCACCTGGTGCAAGTTAGACCAGTAACTAGGTTGCACTTTGTAATATTGGGTTGCACCAGTTCAAGTAACAAAGCACTAAATCAAGCCTTGTCCCTACATGACAAGCATGTGCACTCATTCTCGGTGTCCCCTGTTGTGATAGGACAGAACTATTGTGAAAAGTGTGAGGTAATTGGGAATTTACGTACTTAATGACAGGTCTTCAAACAGCAATTTCTTTTTCAATTACCAGCATCAATGTCTCTAGGTGATAAACATGGATAATAAAATCAAGAAGATTATTTGTTTTAGTAAGACAGGTATTTCTATCTAATTACTGTTTCAGTAGTGAAGTGAATAACGATATATCAAACTGTTGATGTATTGCAATTGTTTGCTATGTGCTGGTATTATATCAGTATGAATTTAGAAATGCCAGTGGTTTTGTAGATAGGATGCAGATAGTTTCAAAAAGTACAAATTACAACATAAATTATGAGAATATTTAATACCTAAATGTGTTTGTTGGCAGGGATAATGACAAGTAGGGAGTAGAGTTACTTCCCTTTGTTTTTGAGATGCTAAAGGAAGGAAAAGCTACTGCTGTAGTGAGGAATACTATTGCAATGGTGAAATACTCCCAGTATTCACCCCAGTACTGAAGTAGTGTGTACTGTGCACATCCATGTTATTGTCTGTGCTTGCAGTCAAGTCCCCAGAGAGGAAGATTGGGAGCCATCTCGAGACAGAGATCCGACGGATGTGGCGACAATCCCTGGACGGGGAGACACTTCCAGGCTCACCACAAATATCAGCAGCTTCACCTCGGATGACGGCTTCCCTGGACCTCAGCATCAACAAATCTGCCAAGGCCATCAGGTCCACTAGAGGTATGATACAATATCATTCATAGACTGTTTATATGTACTGTCATATCTGTGAATCCAGATTGTAATGTTCCTGCCGAAATTGTCAAAATTGACCAACCATAAGGAACATTACTTCCTCCACATCTACCCTTCCCTCCAGGTATGGTCTAGGAGATGGGATTTCCAGACTGACATAGTTTCTCTTAATAAAACTATTTTACAACCATTTCTTGTCACAAACAGAACATAATGTAAGCCTATTAACTGTTTGATCAGTTTATTCTTTGATGAAGTCTCAGTGTTGTGTAACCCGTGAAGGTCCAGGTTAGAATGAACCTTCAGTAACCCATGGTTGTCGTAAGAGGTGACTAACGGGATCGGGTGGTCAGGCTCGCTGGCTTGGTTGACACATGTCATTGGTTCCCAGTTGCGCAGATCAATGCTCATGCTGTTGATCACTGAATTGTCTGGTCCAGACTCAGTTATTTACAGACCGCCACCATATAGCTGGAATATTGCTGAGTGTGGTGTAAAACTAAACTCACTCACTCACTCACTCACTCACTCAGTGTTGTGTAAATTTCAGTGCAGTGTTGCTGTCATGTCAGTAGCTGAAATTTAAATCACTTCCCTCCCTCACTCATTTAGTCTAAGAGAGGTTTCTTAGTGTTTAGACTGCAACTTGTGTATTTATACCTAAGTTCGTTGGTAATAATGTTCTGGAACATTAATTATTCATATCGTATGCCAGTTATCATGATGTGGTTGACAGAGTGTAAAACAGATGTTGATGATGTTGCTAATGGTTGGGGAACAATGTTGGATGCAGCTATTTCTCCCTCTCAAGATATTCTTGTTTGTGCCCAATGTTTGATGAAACTATCTGAATGATTTTGATTGTTATTCTTGTCAATCCTTGTCATTCAGATGGACCACAACACCAGTGGAACGGATTCAATGGGACCTTATTCCAGGATGATGAGGAGTTCACCACTCTTGACGATCTCACAGCTGATATTTTACTCTCTCCAGAGGCACTGGAGGAGAGAGAAGAAGGCATCCTATTGAAGTCATCATTAGTATTAATCATCAAAAGGCTCATCATCCCATATTGTTGATGACCTTTTTCATACCAAGACACCTCAAATTCCGCGTTTACAGTCAAAATACATGTCTTTACAGGAGAGTCCTTTTCCCAGTCAGTAGAGAAAGTCAATAGAAGTTCTTCATTAGATCCATCTTCAAGGTTTATTCCTGATGCTTTGTCTCTGCGGGTATCTCAGACAATGCCCGTGTTCAGCAAAGGAGGCGTTATGAATACTTCCCGAGCTGGAACATCGTTTCAGGTAGGTGATGCTGACTCGAGTCAGGTCAGGTTGGCATTTGATGACCTTGAGGATGTTCTAGACGAAGATGCTACTCCAGAAAGGCTTCAGTCATTGGATGAATCATTTGCTCCCTTGAGCGAGGGTCTGCAGCTTCAGGGTAAGTCACCATTCAAGTCAGACCCTGACCAGAACAAGACAAGCAGTGAGCCGACTCATGATGAGATAATGGCTCGGTTTCATCAGTTCAAGAAGAGTGTGTTACAGGACAAGAACGAGGGGCAGAGAACTCTTGAACCCGACCTGCTGCAGTCGACCTCCAGCTCTGACGAGAGACTGATGTCAGCTTTAGAACAAAAATACATCACTGGACTGAACACATCGTGGTCCCTTCTTGATGACGAAACTCTGGATGATAATTGTCTTCAAGACATTTAGAGCATGTTTTGTTTTGTTAATGTATGTTTTTAATAATGCCAAAAAGATAAATATCAAACCAAGAGAGATAACAGATCAAGTGCAACATGTTCCTGTAAGTACATTATAGCAGTTCTCAGTCCTGACTAGTAAGGTTAAGGGATATTTCACATTGCTTTGTTGTGGAGAACACAACAGATTGACTTCAGTTGTCTCTGTAGGGCTGACAGTACAATGTTTTCTTCCTTTTCTTTCTTGGAGTAATATAATGTTTTAACTGAAAACTCAGAATAACTGATTATGCTGAAAATACCCTGTCATTTGCTTGGGGCTTACTCCAGGGATGCATAAGCATGAAGACTTAAGCTTTCTCAGTAAAGTACTTTCTGGGGTTGAGTTCTATCCAGGAATGGAACCCACACTAGGTCGCCTTTCAGTTGTCCAGGAATTGATCCATAGGATGTAGGCTATAGGATAGACTAGCTTGCCAAACAGTTAATCTGAAGGACTATTGTCTCACCTTAAATGATGTCTATGGTGGCACCACCACCTTGCTTGTGCATCAGGGTAGGTGTGATGATCAAGTGTTACTGCATTTCACACTGTTTTACTGTGTATAGGTTATGTTGGTGGTCAGCAATATGTATATGATGTGTTTGTATATATCTGTAAGATGTTCTGTACAAATGTGAGATATTTTGACTGTAACCATGGTAACTGTGATATATGGTGAAAGTTGTAATTAGGCTTTGCTACATATTGTGAGACCAGCATGGGATATTTATGTTACACACTGAAATAAATTTACAACTTTTGCTGGAGACCTTCAGACTAAAGCTTAGGACTAGTGACAGTCTTTTAAAATTTAGGGAAATTTTGTGTTGAAAAATATTTAAGTTCCACACTCAAGCCTTTTTTTCATTGATATTTTTGTCACTTTATGACAAATGTCAAATGAAAATTGGATAATCTGAATGACTTTTTTTCTCTTCCTGAAAACTAATAACGCCAATACTTATTGACAGGTATGATTTTATTTTTGTAAACCTCCACAAGTTTGCCAGAAAAGTCCATAAATCAACTTATATTAAAAGATCTTCTGAAAGTCATTATGTCGGGAGACATAAGCCAGAGGCCTTTCTGAAATGTGTGTAAGTTAGAATCTCAGGCGGAAAGAATTATTTGTAGTTTAGATGATACAAGGATATTTAAAGCCTGTACTTTTCTCCATACTCCTTGCTCAACTACATGGATCTGTCTTGCCAAATGGCTTTACATTGTTTGTGTTGTTATTCCATGTTTTCTTCAGCACAGTTATTCTTCAGGGGGCTGAGCAATCTCAACTGTGGGTCTATATATCTGTCCACATCCAAATTGTCTTAGCATGAGAGTAGCACCTACTGACACAATCACAGATCGATACTCATGCTGTTGATCACTGGATTGTCTGGTCCAGACTCGATTATTTACAGACCGCCGCCATATAGCTGGGATATTGCTGAGTGCGGCGTAAAACTAAACTCACACACTCACTCACTCACAATCACAAGATGTTAGCTGTCAACATTAAGCATGAAAAACAAAGACTGAGGCGGTCTCTTGATGAGAGTTATAGCAGATACAAAGGTTATGATAACATGTATGACCTTAGTCTAAGGTGCCATGTAATCTAGTTTTTAATGATGCCCACTGTTTGTTACATAGTATTATGTATAAATATATACAGAATACTGCCAACTTTAGTCATTATCCAAAATGGCTGTTGAATATTTTGGGGAGAAGAAATTGCCTACCTCTATATTTCTAAGTCATCAGAACCTCAGCATTACTTCTATTAGATCCTAGGACAGGTTGCCATCTTGTAATTATTGGAACCCAGGAACCCTTGTCTAAAGGTTGATGTTGGTGATTATGGCGTGGTTTGATTAAAATATTGATGAACAAGGACAAGTTCTAATGGGTGGGTAACTTTTATTACAGTTATCATGGCATTTTGGTGTAGATTCTAACTCCTTGCTGAAGCAAGTGATGACACCAAAGGGGTGCCTTGTTTGTAATAAAAAACCTGTCATTGTTCTTCACACCAACCTTAAAGGCCACTCAAACAAGTTACACAATAATCGAAAATCGATCGAAAGAAGGATTAAAAATAATTATCGATTGTACAAAATCTTAATCATATTTTTGATTAATCGGAATTTTGTTGTTTACTATAACACACTTGAATGAAGTAAACTAACCATTAAATTTGATGAATATTCACGAACAAACTTGCACTCAACAGTGTAAACCTAAGTGCATTGTATTCATAGTTTCATATTCATGACTACAGTAAATATTACTGTAACCTGTCTGTGAATAAATTGTACACCTGTTGTGAACATAATGAGATATACTGATAAACATTTGTTGTATAAATAAACAAAATAATTACATTAACATTAATTAGAAAAAATACTGGAGAAAAACCCTTACAATTGGTGATAACATTAAAAATGTATATACAGTACAACCAGAAATTATTGAGAATTTAAGATTGTAATTTTTTTATAATTTTCATTCATTACTTACTTATTAAATGTGAATATTAGCAGAACATAACTCCAGATTCAAAGACAGGTGAACAGTTAGTATTTTGTCAAGTCACCATGGGCAGCAATGCAGGCTTCAATGTGGCGGGGCATACTACTGATCAAAGAAGTTAGAAAGTCGTGGTCCATGCTGTCCCAATATTTGTCAGATTTTTCTTATTGACACTTTCCTTCAAAAGGCACCAAACATTTTCTATTGGATTTAGGTCAGGGCTATAGCTTGGCCAATCTAATAATGTCATATTTTGGGTCCGAAACCAGGCCTGTGAATGCTTTGAACGATGTTTTGGGTCGCTGTCCTACTGGAAAATCAAAAAATTTCCATAGAACACGTGAGCAGATGGAAGTAAATGTCCCTCAAGAATATCTGTGTACCGCTCACTGTTCATATTCCCTTCAAATACACAGAGGGGCGTTGCCCCTAACACAGATATGCCACCCCACACGTTAAATTTTGGACTGTACTTTGGGCGCTGATACAAAGGTTTTTCAGTTTGTTTGGTCCAGAATTTCAGTGTATTAGGAAACAGCCACACAGAACTTTCATCTGAGAAATTCACATTGTCCCAATTAAAATTTCTGTGCTGTAAGCACCAGTTCAACCTTCACTCCTTTTGTTCAGGTTTCATGATCGGTGATGGAATTCCTTGACTTTTCTGCCAACCCATTGCATGCAGCTCAGTTCTAATTGTCTCCTTACAGACAGCCACAGTTCCTCTATCAATCATATCCAGCCTTAAGTTTTCTAAACTCCTTCGTTTGTTTTTAGAAACAAGAATACTAAGCCACCTCCTGTCACCGACAGTCAATTTTCTGGGCCTACCTGCGCCTCCCTGGTGCTCAATGTCATATCCATTTGCAATATTTTTCAAAACACGATAAACAGTGGACAAAGGGATGCCTGTTCTATTTGAAATCACTTTAGCTGATCTGATGTCCTTGTTATAATACTCTAAAATCAACTTCCTCTTCTCTAAATCATCCATACTGAGGATCACTGAAAATGTCGTCTGCTAGTAAGTAAACAAAGGGGGATAACTCTTCACAAACTAATGAAAAAGGATTAACATGGTTGTCTCTCTTGAATGAGACCAAGCACTTGATAGCTGGTCAAGGTTGTTTATACTAAAAATCAAATTAAACCTATTCCTAAAATTCTCAATAATTTCTGGTCATACTATATTTTGATTATAATCAATAATTGTTCACCACAAGTCCTCCCATTGATAGTGGATTTCGTTTCCGATTCCCAACACTAGTTGTACTGTGGTGCTGTTGTCGGAAGCCCCTGATAGAAATGCATTGATGGCAAGTAAAAATATGCCAACTTGTTAGATCTTGATAAGGTGAATATACTATCTTGTCATAGGTTCTCTGTTGTGTGGTGAAAGTAACCAGAACGCTGTACACTGTTGTCTTCAGTGGTTATACCAGGAAAGAGAGAGTGCCCCAGTTTACATGTTTTCGCAATCTCATTATAATCACTATAGTCAGTACACCCCTCCTTGGAGTAAAAGATCATATTTTATTGAGATTGGTGTATGTAAATAGATAACAATATTTATTGAAGGCTAAAGTGTCCGCATTATGATTTATGTGGACTTAATCAGCTCTAGTGTGTTATTTTCACTGATCTGTTCCACTTGACATCAGTTATGTCACATGAAGACCTTTATGGGAGAGATTCTTATTTTCAGTAAAGGTCACTAAATATCATCAATATCTGAAGGTGAATTTATGTTTGGTATAAAGCTGTAAAAACCAAATGTTTGCTTCTGAGACGCT